TTATTTAGGGAGATGGAGGTGGTGTATAGAATATTACCTTATTTAGGGAGATGGAGGTGGTGTATAGAATATTACCTTATTTAGGGACATGGAGGTGGTGTATAGAATATTACCTTATTTAGGGACATGGAGGTGGTGTATAGAATATTACCTTATTTAGGGACATGGCTCCTAGTTCCAGAGTTAGGAGGGTTAGGGCCAAAAAACTCACAATATCATTAACACTTTATTGATCCCTGTGGGGGAACTTTCTTTTCGCTTACCCCGGCTTGCTCTCCATGACACATAGAAAGGTGGGAGCAAGCATGACAGTGACAGGCAGCCACCTGCAGCAGCACCCATGAAGCTGGGGGCTAAGGGCCTTGGGCAAGGCCACGGACGTGACTATTCTGCTGAGGCTGGACTCGATCCAGTGACGTTCTACTCACAGGCACAGATGCTGAGTACACTGAGCCACACACTGCCTCCTGAAGCAATGAAACACAAAAGCAGTCAGGGTTAGTGACCATAAACAAGTCCAGCTGTTTATACTGTACCTGGAGGAAGTGACTCAGTGTATCTCCCAGGCGCAGTGAGCAAGCTCATGATGGTATGAAACATGCAGGTTCTACTGCTCCTAGTGATGTAATGGGGCTGTGTGGAGGCTAGGGACATCCCGCAAGAGGCACTCGGCCTGCGGCTGCTCCATCAGAACATAACAGGAGTAGCAATCGAAGAAAAAGAGAAGTAACAGGAGTAGGAGGTGCAGGTGGGGAACAGGAGTAGTGACTGAGGAATAGGAGTAATGAATGAGGATCAGAAGTAGTGGCTGAGGAACAAGAGTGGTGGCTGATGAACAGGGGCAGCTTGAGCAACAGGAGTAGGAGGTGAGGAAGAGGATTCGAGGCTGAGGAACAGGAGCAGGAACTGAAAAACTGTAGCAGTGGCTGAGGGCTAAGAGTACCAGCTGAGGAAAAGGGATAGAGGCTGAGGAACATGAACCAGGGCTGAGGAAGAAGAGTAGAGGCTGAGGAACATGAACCAGGGCATGACTTGAGACTGAGGAAGAAGAGTAGGGACAGAGGAAACAACAGCAGGGAAGAACAGGAGTAGAGGCTGAGGAACAGTGAGGTATGACTTGATCTTCCAGCCTTAATGTGTCTTTTCAGCGCACCTCCTCCAGTTTACCTGTCTCTCATCTTGCTAGGCCAAGCTGAGGCTCTGCAGTGAGCATTTACATATGTTACCCCCCCCCCCCCCCCCCCCCCCCCCCCCCCC